AGAGAGGGAGAGAGAGAGAGAGAGAGAGAGGAAGAGAGAGAGAGAGAAGGGGGGGGAGAAAGAGAGAGAGAGAGAGAGAGGGGGCAGAGACTCGAAGGGATAAATTTCGACGAATTGAACAACGTAAACACGGGAAATGTTTCGTTCTTACGTGCTTTTATACCGATGAATGAGTAGACATCGATGAACGACTAAATCTGTTCTTTTTTATTGCCATACCTAACATTAAGATAATATACAGGATGTCCCAAACCTACCGCACCACCTGCTAATGGCGAGATGATTTTTCTTCAGCGAAAATGTCGAGGGAGGTCATTATTTTTTGCAAGTTACCAATTTTTTTCATCATGTATCTTTGTAACTAAGCTTTAAATTATAATTCTCTCTCTGTCTCTCTCTCTCTCTCTCTATTGAAATAAACTCTAATCTTTTAACTCTCTATAAAGTTTAGTTTGCAAAAAGCCCTCCTTTTTGGATCGCTTATAATATGGAAATTATTGATACCTCGACATTTTTGCTGAGGAAAAATTATCTTAAAATGATCTCAAGAATCTGTCATTAGCAGGTGGTGCGGTAGATCTGGAATACCATGTATAGTGTTATCAAAATTTTTTCATATTATGCATGTTAAGAATTTAATGTAATTATTTATTTTGAGGAATTCGCGATTTCTTTATCCTTTTTTTTTATTACTAAAATTTTAAATAATTCCAAATAGAGAGATTCATAATAGAGTTCCAAAACGTGATTGAGTATTTCTCAAAGCTTTTCCTCTCAATCTCAATTATTTCGCTATAATTTAAATAAGATTCGATAAAACTTATCGAAGAGCAAAGGACTTTATATCTTTTACACGTCATTACATACCTATCACTGTCAATCGTCTGTATAATGACTAATATTCCCGACAAAGGAAAATCCACCACGATACCCATATAAAAATTTGACCTCGCTGTTTAGTTCCGCGACTCACAATTTATGCATTTCGCATATTTTCTTTCATAAAAGATATTGTAAGATAGAGGAGAAAAGGAACTGTCGTATACATTCATGATCAGAGAATCTGGTATCGAGGTGGTCCAACTTTTCGATTCGAGGGAACGGATGTTTGTAGTGATGAGCGACCATTAAACAACATGAGCAGGAAACTATCATATGATAGTGATTCATGTGTATATGATGTATATGATTTCACAAGTCGGAAGATGCGCACGCGAGAGAAAGAGAGAGATGAATAGGCAGCGAGACTTAAGCACGGGATACAAGCAATTCATTCATCAATGATTTATCCAAAAGGGAATACTCGTGCGTTCGATTCAGCGCGCTTCTAGGAAACAGGAAGATATATCAGCCAGATGCCATCCTTCCAGCGAACTCTTCTGGGTTAAGCGTTTCCGCGAGAGGGTATGCGTATTCTATGACGATATTGCCGCGATTTCTCGCTTCCTATCATCTCGTCTCAAGCGTTCGTCAAAAGATTATCTTACGACACACATGATGAATTCCTATAATATAATAGATGATTTAAAAACGTGTTAATTTATACGGGGTGTCTACCCCTGGAAAAACATGGAAAATCTGGAATTCTCAGAGAATTTTTTTGTACCTGGAGAAATCAGGGAATTCGCATGGAATTTTATTGAAACTCGGGGAATTTAAAACAAAAATTCTCTCTTTGATAATTTTGTTCTTGCAATTCTACTGTAAGCAGTAGGCAATCCGTCAATAAGCCAAGTTGTGAATTATGTGTTTAAGATAGTTGTCTCCCAAATCGCAATTAACAAGAAAAATTTGAAAATTTTACTATATATTAATAAATGTGGTATCTACATGTTTGTACAACTTAAAAGCAATTCCGAACCGACCGTCCCGAACGCGAGATAATCGCTATCAAAAATTGCACTTTTTATACGTGTCGCATACGCAAAACGTACGAAAATCTTGTATTTTGAATTTTAATAATTAGAAAGAATAACAAGAAAGTGATGGAAAACTAATATAAAGTAGAAGAATACTTTAGGAATTCTATTTAAAAAAAACCAAAAAGATTATTGACCGTTTAGTTTTAGAAATACAATAATAAAAAGACCTCGCGGTATTATTTCATCCTTGTTATTCACCGAAAGTTAAACAAAGACAGATGATGCTCGCGAACGTTGCGGGCGTCGACTTGGTAATAGACAGAAATAGTACAGAATGTCCAAAAGTTTTCAATCGGTAACCGTAGGTAGTCGGTAGTCAGATGTTTTAACGTTGACTCAGAGTATAAAATTTTGGATTGTACTGTCGCAAGAGCTTAAAATATATTATAAATATATATCTATCTCTCTGTTTATATTTTGAATGTCTTAACAAAATATTGAATATGCAGTCCATATTCTTTATTTTAATTTTTAGTGATAAAAAATGAAAATGTTATGCAACTTAAAAATTTTTATCTTAACGAAAGCTATTTGGTTTTTTTTTCAGTACATTTGTAAATCTAGGACTTGAAACTTAAGTGGCTTTGTGTTTTCTCTTGGTATGAATAAAAAGAATTATAAAATGCGTGCAATAAAATAACTTATTTTAGGAAATTGCACC